AAAAAAATTAATGTCGCTTTTCGCGTAGCGAAATTACGTCGGCGGTGTGCAATGTATCATTCACAAGTTATTGGTTCAAAAAATATTATTCGAAAAAATTAATTCGTGTTTGGTGTGAAAGGGCCTTTAGAGAGGGTTTCAGCAGTTCTTTAGGTGGATGTAGAGATTATTCAGGGGTTCTAGGGGTCCTTTAAGAGGTGTTTACCATAAGGAGGTTGTGGTTTTCACCTCTCAGGTGCACAGTACATGTAGTTCACATACTTGTGGTCATTAAGGAGGTTTTAGGAGGTTCCAGTTCACTTTTTTGTGGGCGTCGATGTGGTGGATTTGGGGTTCTTAAGATGGTTTTTGTGGTTGCTACTTTCAATTTAGTCAATTTAGGATTTAGTTTTCCTGTTGGAGATTTAAGTTGGTGAACAAGGTTCTTCCTGAACACTGGAGCCTCATTGTGATTTAGGTACAGCTTAGGCACTTCTAGTGGTCCTGGAGCAGGTTCTAGTTTCCTTTTAGAATGTTTTACTGGATTTTTAGGTAGTAGTTGTGGGTGTAGGGGGCCTTTGCAGTTTTTTTGAAGGTCCTTGGGGTTATGCATTGGGTTCTAGGGGACCATTAGTAGAATTTAAGGGTCCTAGAAGTTGAAGTTCACTTCACACTTGCACCTCAGATTGTATGATAGGGGTTCATGAGGAAATCTGAGGATGTAATAGTCTTTCAGTAGTTCTACTTTGTTTTGTGTGGTTCTAGTGGTGTATAGTAATCTTGTAGTGGTCATGTTGGAAGGTCTGGAGGGCTTTATGCAGATTATAGTATACTTTTTTTGGGTGGTTCAGTTTTGTAGTGACAACACTTGTCACCATCATCAAAAAGCAAAAACAGTGAAACACAACTGATAATGTGGGCTTGTTTTTGTTTGTGCTTACACTTCCATGCAGACATCCAGCAGCTGTTGGTGAGAGGAAAAGAGGTTCTGCTTGAGCATCATGACTGGAGCCCCAGTCTGGACCAGGACCCATCAGATCCACCACGCATTAAAGAGGAACAGAAGGAACTCTGGACCACCCGTCAGTCAGACTCTCTCTGGTACTTAGGACCAGATTCTGACAACAAGGTTTCAGACTCTTCACAGTTTAAGACTGAAGTCAGTGATGATGACTGGATGCAGACCAGAGGACCAGTGTCAGTTTTAAACTCCCTAAAAATCATTGAAGTCCCTGCAACAGATGTGAGATGTAATACTGGCAAGAAAACCTACAGCTGCCCTGAATGTGGGAAATTATTTGGTCACAGCCCACACTTAAAAATACACATGAGAACTCATACAGGAGAGAAGCCATTCAGCTGCCCATTCTGTGGTAAAGGTTTTACACAAAAGGTGAATCTGACATACCACATGTCCGTCCACACAGGTGAAAAACAATTCAGCTGCCGCTTCTGTGATGAAAGATTCACCTGGTATACTCAGCTCAAAAGCCACCAGTGTGTTTGTGAGTCCTTGCAGCTTCATCAGAGTCAGACTGAGGAGACCAGAGAAGCTGAGACTGTTGAGAGGTCATTCAGCTGCTCTGAGTGTGCAAAAACATTCAGCCGCAAGGACAATCTGAACATTCACATGAGAATCCACACAGCAGAGAGACCATATGGTTGCACAGTCTGTGGTAAAACCTTTAAACATGGAGGACATCTGACGCAACATTTGTCTATCCACACAAAGGAGAACAGATTCAGATGCAGTGTTTGTGATAAGAGGTTCACCTGGATTTATCAGCTCAAAAGACACAAGTGTGGTGGTGATGAATCCTCAGAGCTTCATGAGGTCTGGGCCAGTCAGGAGGGAGAGCAGCTTCAGGGACTGGAGGATGCTGATGACACCAAGTTCCCATTCACTGCTGTCCTCGTGAAGAGTGAAGATGATGAAGAGGAACCTCAGTCATCACAGCTTCATCAGAGCCATGCTGAGGAGAAAAGAGACTGGGTGGCAGGAAAGGACTGTGGAGGACCAGAACCAGCCAGGAACCCAGGTCTACATAGACTCTTGGAATCAGATACTGATGACCGGATTCCACACATTTCTGAAATTAAAGTTAGGAATGCTGGGAAGGAGAGTAGTGAACCTGAGTCAGGGTTAAACTCTGAGGAGGTTCCAGAGATTGATTCAGGATGTAATGCAAGGAAGAAATCATTCAGCTGCTGTGAATGTGGGAAAATATTTGGCCGCAAGGAACATCTGCAGGCACATGTGAGAATTCACACAGGAGAGAGACCATTTAGCTGCTCTGATTGTGGTAAAACATTTGGCTGCAAGAGGTCACTGCTGGGTCATGTGACAAGTCACACCGGAGAGAAACCCTTCAGTTGCTCTCAGTGTGGGAGAAGATTTGGCCGTATGGTAAATCTGAAGACACATGAGAGACTTCACACAGGAGAGAGGCCATTTAGCTGTCCATTTTGTGGTAAAGGTTTCACACAAAAGGTACACATGACTCAACACATAGCTGTCCATACAGGTGAGAAACAGTTCAGTTGTAGCATTTGTGATAAAAAGTTCACTTGGCTGTCGGGGTTCAGACGACACAAGTGTGGAAATGAACAGTCAGAGCTGGATGACACTGAGGAGAGCCTAGAGGTAGAACCAGGTGAGAAGCCGTTCCGATGCCGTGAATGTGGTAACAGATTCAACCACAAGCACAACCTGAAAACTCACATGAGGATTCACACAGGAGAGAAACCGTTCTGTTGCTGTGTTTGTGGCAAAGGTTTCATTGCGAGTGGAGCTCTGAAGAAACACCTGAGAACTCATTCAGGAGAGAAACCGTTCAGCTGCCCTGTGTGTTGCATACGATTTACACAGGGAGGAAATCTGAAGCGACACATGGCACAGCACATGGGGGAAGGTCAAGAGAAACCGTTCAGCTGCTCTGTTTGTGGTAAAAGCTTTACACAAGTGTCAAACATGAAGCGACACATGGTGCAACACATGGCAGCTAAAACAAGTCAGTAGCAGGAAGTGAAGCTGTGATCAGTCCACCCCTCACACAGCATCAACAGGAAGGAGACTGAAGGTGTCTGACTTCATACAGTCACCAGACGCAAACCTCACAGCTGAGTGTTGATGCATACAGTATGTATGGTATATGTTTTAGCATGACACAGCTTTAAAATAATTTTAATAAAAAGAAGACACACACTACAACTGAACAATTGTTTCTACAAAATTTATAATTCAATCAGCTTCAGAGCTGAAATTGTTCACTGACTCACTGAGCTCCACCAGCACAGAGCAACGCCTGAACACAAATTGTCCTGGTTGCTGGGTTGCCCGTTTCATAAAGTTGGTTTTTTGATTTACAGACTCAACTGACTCTGGTCATGTCATGTTTAACGTCCTGAATAACTGAACTTTCCAGTGTTTGAAATAGGAAGATTTGCAAATGTGGTGTCAGAAATGTAAATGTGACTTTTTTTTTATTTAAGTTTTAAAGTTAATTTGCAAGCATGAGCTTTGCTCTGAATAAAGGATCAATGAAACTGAGTTTTCATAGGAAAAATGTTTGTGAACATGTAAATGTTTTGAGAGAAATCAGTTTAAAATAGCAGTTTCAGTTCTATAAATGATCAATTTACCTATGGATATGTACAATTAATATTTACAGTAAGACATGTAGGGTCAATATCAATTGTACATATTTATCGGTAAATTAGTTCTGACTCTACATACCGTAGATACTGCACTGCTGTTATTGCTCTTCTGGTTAGATGCTAAACTGCATTTTGTTGCCTTGTACATGGGTAATGACAGTAAAGTTGAATCAAATCTAATCTAAAGTTACATTTAACAGGTACTGTATGAGTGAAGACATTTTAGTTGTAAAGATTATAATGTCTCTCAGTATGACAGAGTTGTTTTAGAAATACTGGTCAAGACCTGAATTGTTGTGGAGTCACGATGGCTTTCAACACTGATTTTGGAGTTTGTTTATTTTTGATGGAGCTGAGCTAACACTTTTTCTCCATTGTTTGTGCTAAACTCAGACATTGTTCCATAAATGAGCACCAGATAAGGTAAAAGAGCAAGAGAAAAGACAGGGAGAACATTAAGGTTACAAACTTTAACTCTGGCTGAGCCTGAGAGCATTTGCAGGAAGAATGGGGCAAACTGCCCTTATGTCCTGCAACCTTCTGCCAGTGCAAAAGCTGTAGTATTAACACTTGATAAAACTGAGGTTGTAGGGCCCTTCAGGAGGTGCTACAGGTTGTGGCTGAGGATTTGGGGTGTCTCAAAAGCGTGTGGTGGAAGAGCATCTTGTGCTGATGATTTCATGCAAATTGATGTGTCCAGCAGGCGGCGCTGTTGTCTGTAGAGATGTCACAGATCAACAATTTATTGTTTCAACTGTAAGATATTTTATGTGATCACTTGTATTGCTTTATATTTTTAACAGTTCTGTTTTCTGTATTGAGGTGTTTATATTTTACTGAACATCTGATCCAGATTTGGCCGACCTGTTCATCTTTGGCGTAATGGCGTCACGCCCCCCTCACCCACGTAGGATTTATTTCCCCATCACCGCATCCTCCATTCAACCAAGAAACCGCAGCGGGACTCCGCGACAACAGCAGGGTGAGTAGGAGGCCCGCACCGCAGGGAGAAGAGTGCAGTATGAGACCTGCCACGGGGACAGAGAGCCAACCGGAGCCACCACCGCTACACACTGGAGGAGGCGACATGACTACAGAGTAAACAGGCAGGAGGACGCTACTGAGCTCTCGGTGAGGGGAAGGATACGCAGGTGGGTTGAATGGATGATCAGATGGCGGCTGAAGGTCCTCACGGAGCGGCTAACTAACTGATGCTGTGTCTGCTCCTGGTGCCTTTGCCACATTCACAGAGCTCCCCTGCTGAGTCCAGGTAGAGGTGGACAAAATAACATGGACACCTTGCAGCTCCATGTTCTCCATCACCCCCACCATCATTTATTATTAGACTGATTGTGCTCTTCTCTTGCAGCGGCCGCAGTCAGGATGTCTGGACCTACCACAGAGGCCGAGTTGGGACCGGAGCTTCCGGACCTAAGCCACCTGATGGAGGATGAGCGGTGCATCATCCTATCGGTGATGGAGAGATGGAGGAGGATAAAGAGCAAAGCATGCTCAAGTAAGGGCAGGGTAGTGGGGCTGTATCAGTAATCATCGCTACTGAATGTGAAAACAAGAACCTGGTTGTCAGCAATCCCAAATGTCCCACACAGTCACGTGACCTCAGACACCTCCAGTCAGCTCAGGGCCAAGATACCCTGACAACAGGAGCACAAGCAATTTTTTAGTTGATGAGCAAATGTCCAAATCAGTGACAGCAGACTGCAGGATGGTTTGTTCATTCATGGATGACAGTTCTCCCTTCAGCCGTCCAGTATGTCAGGAGGGCACCTGGTTAAACCAGCAGTTCTCTACCATTTCAAAATACTCAAATGGAAAATGCTGCAGAATCCTATTTTAGCAAAAGTAGGCAAGCATTCTCAGCTCTATACCGGTTGTACTGTGACTAATTGACTTATTAATCCCGCGTCTTCAGCAGCATGTTACTGTTGGAGCTGTTCCAGGTGAGCTGGTTTTATCTCCATCCTGTACTGTTAGCGTTAACTAAATCATGTACAGTTAACTAGTTGTTGACTAGAACATCATGTCAGTTTGTAAAATGATCATTTACACAGAAACCATCAGATAAACGTAGTGCAGTAAAAAGGACTACTTTGAAATGTAGTGGAGTAGAAGTGTAAATTAACATATAATGGAAATGCTAGAGTATAGCACAAAAACTTTCAAATTGAACTTAATTATAGTTTTTACATAAATATAGTTCCTTTGCAATTCAATTGTTTTATTTGTATAGCACCAAAACAAATAATCTCAGGGCACTTTACAAAGTCAGGTCTAAACCTTACTACTACTACTATTGTTGTTATTATTACTACAGAGGAAAAACCCAGCCACATTGTGTTGTTATGACCTGATACTGCTAACGATGGCTAACCTGGCAATAAGAGTTTATTCATCACCTCGTTTTCTGACAATTAATGCCTCCCTCCTCCTTTCAATGGAGTGATGACGGGCAGGGCTGCGGATGTTGGATTCACTCCTGGGCTGGTCGGGGTGGAGATGATGATGACTGAGAGAAGAGTATAACAGAGACAGATTAACGGAAACTGTGCATCGACCTGTGAAGCGGTCGCTGGTAGAGCTGAGGGAAACCAAGGTCCAGAGGAGAGGTCCGATGAGGAGAAGAAGAAAAAAAAACAGTCACGGACGGGCAGGATAGAGACACAGCAAAAGGAGCGGGCGTACTTGGCACAGGAAGGCAAAATGTGAACATAAACGGGGCCTGGAGAATTGAGCAAGAACTGGCAGGGGAGTGAACGGTGAGCAGTGTATAAATAAGGAGGGAGACTAACAAGGCGCAGCTGGTGATTATCAGCGAAGCGGGGCAGGTGTGTCTAATCGTGCAATCAGTGCAAGGGAGCTGACTAGTGCGAGGAAAAGAAGAGAGGAAGGTGACTCCAGGCAAACCTGACAAAAACTCCCTGTAACAGAAGAAACCTCCGACAGATCCCGACTCGTGGTGGGCGGCCTTCTTCCTCGACCGGTTTGGGTGAATGGACAGAGGAGAGAGAAAAGAAGAAAAGCAACAAGACATAACAAACAGTCAAACACTGGACAGGTTGATGTGGCCGGTGACTGCTCCGCCACTCGCTTCCTCTATTTAACACCAAGGGGAAAGTGAGGAGCCCCCAGCAGTCAATGTCCACAAAAAGGAATTATTGTCATATCTCCATCACAGAGGTGGATGCAACAGGGGGCGTGGCCAGGTGTGCATCCTGACAGACACTTTAGACTCAGTACCTTGCTCAGAAGGCAGAGGTTGATCATGTGATGTTTGTGTCTGTGTGCAACTTTATTTCAGTGGTTTTGTTATTTATGTTGAACTTTGTGGTTTTTCAAATTATGAGCTGCTGCATTAGTGAGAAATCAGTCATTATGTTTTGGAATTCCTGGTCATCAGAGTGATTTATGACAGTGTGTATAAACACTGACTGTGACAAATGTTAGAAGCTCATTTCCTCAACATTTCTTCATCTTTTGAGTTATTTATATTAGATTAGATTCAACTTTATTGTCATTACCCATGTACAAGTACAAGGCAACAAAATGCAGTTTAGCATCTAACCAGAAGGGCAATAACAGCAGTACAGCATTTGGCGCTTAGTTTTCATGTTTATGTTCTGGTGTCTTTATGTTCATCATTGTGTGTCTGTAGGGAACAGGAGGGACTGAATACTTCATTAGTCTCGTAAATACCTCAGTACCGAACTATTCCCAGAGTGCACCTGTCCTGGCCACGCCTCCTTTTCAAACCTCAGACAAACTACTTCCTGTTTCCCAAACTTCCCCTTCTCAGCAAATCTGTTTCCTGTTGGCGGAGCGAGGGAAGATGGCGGACTGAGTAGCAGAGTGTTTTTCAAACCCTGCTATGTTTGCCCAAAGTTTGAATATTGACAATAATAAATGCCATTTGCAGACTACGTTTTAGTGGAAAAGTACAACTCAAAGAAAAACACATTTCAAACAGGTGGCATCTGGTAAAAAGAGTGTGAAGAACCCTGAAAACCTCCACCACAATTACACTAGCATGGAAGTTGACATTGCTAACAACAAAAAAGGATACAAGGCTGACTCAACGGCTACATTTTTTGCTAAAGCCTAAGAAAGAAAAGGAAAAAAGGTACAGAACAAGGCAGAGCCTCTCATCACATACAAAGCTATTTTGGAGGCCATTCAGGACTTGGGGTCAAGGTTGGATAACCAACTGGGGAGCTTAGTGACCAGTTGAAACATAACAGCACTCTGTTAGCTAGTCTGACAAAAATAACCTGGCTCAATTAAGAAGAGCTGACAAAATGTAAAGAAGAGGTGAAACCTTGGAGAAGGAAGTGGGTCAGCCTTGAGAAGAGAACGCAGAGCTGAGGAGATGGTGTTTGTGGATTAAAGGGTGGAAGGAAAAAATGGAAGAGAACATCAGAGAAGAAACGGTTCAGCTGCTATAGAAAGTCGCTCCTGAGCTGGGAAACAAGATGGAAGATATGGTTCATCATGTGGGAAGAAGGGAGGAGAACAAAAACTTACAAATGGTTGTCCTGTTTGCCAAACAGCTGGTAATAGATGAGATCTGGCAGCACACCAAAGATTCCCCCATATGTAGAGAAATTGGGCTCTGATTTGCAGAGGATTTGACCCATGAGGATCTGATGGAAAGGAAGCTACTTTGGCACAGAACAAGCAGCGTACTTCAGAGGTCCCTTTGGCTACATTGAAGGGCGTAGGATCCTGATGTGATTTTATGACAGGTCATACTTCATGTCATCTCAGTTCTTGGTGACTACTTGAAATATCGGGCAAAGCATCTAAGCTTTGTTTCTGTAACAATTCTTGTTACTGTTAGGTTATTTCTTAGTTAGATAGATATTCAGAGATTTGTTGTCTAGAAAGGTTTAGTGCAGACAGGGTGACTAGCTTAGGCTGTAACTATTCAGCCTGCAGTGAAGATTGCAGGCACGCCAAGGTTACAGGAAAAGAGCTTTTAGTGTCAACAGTAATGCTAGTCTTAATATTTGTGTTATGTCCAATTGTTTAGATACACACCACGAAAACAACAGTCACGCACCTTGACTTTTCCTCATGTTTTGGCTAAACGTTAGAGCAGCTGCAAGGCTTGCTTATCGGGTGGCGTCACGGTTTGACGCCCCTTGTAGTATGGGAATAGCCCAAAATGATTAATATTATATAGGTTGTTGGGTCCAGAGATCTTGAGCTTTTCTGCTGCCTGCGCGCAGGCAGAGGGGTGAGAGAGATCTGGACGTGTAATGTGAATTTTACCTGTGATCCTCTGAATAAACCAGCACGGTTATTTCTTATAAATCTAAAGCAGTCTCTTTCGTCTCATTGAGAGTTCCTGGTTTGAAAGAACCGGAAGAAGCTACAGAGAAATAAGAGCTTATATTACTGTTCTCAAATCACTACAGTTGCATTTCTAATGGCATCAGCACTGATGATGCTGAAACTTTGGCTTCACTACAGTGTTAGTTGGATGAGCTTTATGTCAAAAAGCTTGGGGAGCATATGTGAGATCTAGAATTGGATGGAGGAAGGTGGAAAAAACAGACTTGGGAAAATATTATATTCATAAATGTAAATGGAGTAGAAGGCGACCTTGTTCAGCTGCGTTTAGCTATGAAATATCCACACTTAACAAATTCCTGGGCTGCATGAGTGGTAAAGCAGCCTGAAATCTTATCTGCAATCAGTTTGATTTACTGTGATTCCCTGCTTATGTTTTAGTTTATTTATTTATTTTTTATTTTACTTTGTTTTGCTCAAATATTAATCTGTGTATGCTTTGTTGCTAAGTTTCACTGCCTTGTATGTCTGTAAATATGATGTTCATAAAAAAAAAAAAAAATCTGTTTCCTCTCAGCTGATTCCATATTACCTGGACAGGTAGAATCCAATGTTGGGGTTCAGCCAGCTTGCCAATAATGTTGCTGCCAATGTATCTGAAGTTCTGCAGGTTAAAAGTGTGATTGATGGGTCACAGACACAAGTAAAAGCCCCATCCACATCTGGGGTTTCTTTCATACCTGTAGTTCATTTCACCTGGTCTGGACCTAGTTCATGTTCACAAATAAGCCATGAAAAGTAAACAAACTGCTGGAGAGTCTGTGGAGGAACTGAACCTTTTGATTCACTGGAGATGAAATGCTCCTTACCTGGACAGTTTCCAATATACACACATCATGTCAGATCCTGATTTTAGGGTCCCTGCAGGTGGGAAAATGTTCTGTAGTCAGAGTTAGTTTAAACAGGATGTTTGCAGGAAAGTGACTTTTGATGGACTGTGATAACATGTATGGCGAGGGTCACATAACCAGCAGAGACAGCTGAATGTGCTAGCAGGCTAGTTACTGTTAGCCTTGCTAGCTTGTGTGCTTGTACTGTAGAAAAAGGTAAATACATTTAGATTCTGTAAGATTTGATTCTCATAGGCTCTAGTTACTTTATAAGCTTTAGTTGCTTTTCATACCTTTAGTTACTTTTTATAACTCTAGTTTCTTTCAGTTACTTTTCAGTTCTTCATTTTCTCTTAGTTACTTTTCATACCTTTTATTTTCCTTGCTTATACACATTACAGCTGTATTGATGATTGTCCAGAACTACTGAGCTTTGGTTATTTTTAATACATTTGTTTTCCCTTCTTATATATCTTACAATTGTATTGATGAGAATCAAGTGATAATGAAGTAGAATCTGCTTACTTTGAATTCTGTAGAGACAGGATGTCTGTATCTCCAGGTAACCAGACAGTCTATTTACATTCTAACAAAGACCTGTTGGCCTTTTTTTGCACTCACTCCTCGACCCACTTAACATATTCCAAGTTCTGCTTTGTCATGGGATGTCCTGCAGAGGCAGGGGGCTCACAGCCTGAGATGACCACCTGGCCAGTTTAGCATACTTATTAGCATCACACACACAGGGGGCCTGCAACCCAGACCACCCATTGTTCAGTGTTCATTGATCAAGATCAAGCTGCCACCTCAGAAACGCACGCACGCACACACACACACACACACACCTGGATTTGACCACATTCCAACAAGGAAGTGTGAGCTCCTGCTTACACCAAATAGCCGATAGGATTACGAAGTGTTGAATGTTATACCTCTATCCAGGGCGGAGCAGTCCAAGAAGATAAAATGTATTGTAAAACATAATTCAGGGTTTGGAGGATGGAATTCCTGCGGGAGCTTTGTCTCTCTGATCCAAGCTGTTAGAAATTAACCCAATTCTTTTGTTGGAAGCACGAGAAGTGAAGACAGGAGAGGACTCTTCTTGGGCCGCTCCGCCCTGGACAGGGGTTTCTGGGGAAAACCTACAGCTACTCTCGAGACAGGTTTCACAGGAACTTGAGAAGATAAAGAAATGGTGTGATAGTAATATTCTATCTCTGAATATGGATAAAACTAAATTTATGGTATTTGGGAATCGTAGACTAGATAACGAACTGCAAGTGAAAATAGGGGGAGCCAGTATAGAACGAGTATATGAAATTAAATTTCTAGGTGTCATAGTG